CCAATGCTAAGCCTCTGTTTAGACCAAAGACATCCACTGAAGTTTGGGTTGATGTTAATTAACAGTATTCATGTTAAAAGGCAGCAAGTCACTCTCCCTGGTGCACACTTATCTTTTTCCTTTAAAAAAAAAAAAGTTGTTTAATTTCTTGCATTGCTAGGGATGGAACCCTGGGCCTCATGCATGCCAGGCAAACACCCTACCACTGAACTACACTCCTAGTCCCTACACTGTTACTCACTCGCAAGTCTCTCAATTGTTTTCAGTAAGGGGTAGTGAAGAATGTTACCACAACCTAGTGTCAGCTTCTGCTCTGCTCAGCCAGCAGTGAAAAGGTGAGCACCATACTTTCTGTCCTTCCCATAGATTCAAGGGTGCTCATGCAGAATCAGAAGAATGCCAGGTTCCCTCTTCCTGAACTCTAGAAGAATGTCACCCTAGGAATCCATAAGGTACATCCTGAGCATGTAAATAAACACACAATATATTCTAGAGATTGAGAGAAGTATTTTTCTTAAAGTTTGTAGTGTTTAAAAAGGAGATATTAAAGTTAGAAGTTTTGGGTCTGTTTGCCTTCAGCATAACTGGCCAAGGGGCCCAGGCAGCCCTAACTGACGACTACCAGTCAAAACAGTGAGAAGCAGTATGCAGGGTAGGAAGTAGCACCACACAGCTCCAGAATGGGCTCCATACGTCAGATCTGGCAGGACAGATCATTCACAGGGTAATCATCCTTTCTCTTAAGATGAGTGGATTCAGTCCCCCACAGCAAACATGCATAAGTACAGCAGTAATAGCCCATCCACAGACAGAACAGACACCTTTGCCCATGATTCAAGTACAGTTGTGATACCTCCTGTTAGATGTGGGAGAATCCTTGTGGAGGGTGCAGATTATGTGGCTTGGGAGAAAACAAAAGTTTAAAAGCAAATGTAGTATGTGTGAGAGAGAGGTTAATGGAAAAATGATTACTGATGTGTTACTGCAGAAAAGTCATGTGACTGAAAAGGAAAGACAGGAATTAGGTGAGAATCATGTACACATGTGGCTGCTGAAGCTGCTTCCTAGTATGATTCCATATGGTCAGAAAGGAGAAGAGGGGCATGGGGCTGGGAAGCAAGTCTTCAAGAGAGAAACTTTTGAATGTTGGTGGAAGAGAGGAAAGATGGTAGATGGAATGGGGCCCAAGGGATATGAGAAAGGTTAGGGCACAAAAGCAGCATTAGGGTTGGTCCTGCATACTGGTGGGGAGTAGGAACAAACAAAAGTGGATAGGCTATGTAGGAATGAACTTGTTTGCATTTTTACTGAACACCACTGACAAGGGTGGATTCAACTTGTGTTGACCCACTGTCCACATGGGTCTACAGAGTACCCAAAGTGTGACAAATCTAAACTTTGGTGTACTGAATGTATGAAATAACAGATTTCCAGGACTTTAGAGGGAATTCTAATATCTCAGTTTTATATTGAATACATGTTGAAATGTCAAAATTATTAAAAATAGATTTCAAATTTTTATAGTTTGATGTTTCTTGGAAATTTGTGTTTAATTTACTTATTTACTGTGGTGCTGCTAGGAATGACACCCAGGACCTTGTGCATGCTAGATAAATGCTTCACCACTGAGTTACACCCATAGACCATTTTCCCAGTTCTTCTTGAATTATTAATATGGCTAATTATAACCCCATTAGCTAGCATTGTTCAAAATGGACCGCAGACATAAACGTGAAAAGCAATGGCAAGACTATATGACTTGTGGTAGGAGAACATAAAAGAACAAGCTTTATGAAAGAATAATTAATTAATTGTTATATTTTATAAATGATTTACATCCTGTCTCAAAAAAAAAAAAAACAAAATTTACTTCCAGAGACAAAGACAATAGTGGAAAGACAAGATCTTTGAAGCCAATAAGAAATATCCACAATTGTAGCAAAGTCCTACAGCTCAACACAAAGCCTGCAACCTGAAATATAGGCAGAAGATAGGGGCAGGAAATTATGAGCACAAGCTCCAAGACTTTAAGAATAAGAAGGTATTTTCAAAATCCTTAGTTATGGGACAAAAACAAATCAAAGAAAGTTGGGAATAATACCTTACAGCTCTTTGACAAAAATCAGGAAACAAATGTCAACCTTGGTAAAGATGGAAAAACGGTGCCCCTTACGTGTTACAAGAAAGAGGGAGGATATGCTAGCAAAGCTTTTCTGGGAACTCGGTTCTACTTAGATGACCTGGAATGGGTGTGGGTTCACGTGGGTCTGTAGAAAGTAGGCAGTGACACTCCAAGGATGATTTTAGCCTTTCCAGCTGCAGGGGGCTCAGCCTCTTCTCGGACTGAGATACTTTCCCTTAGCAAAGGGCTTCTTTATTATTCTCCAATTTATACCTTAGCAAGTTGATTTCCGTATCCCCAAAACATCTTAAGTTTTTCAAAGGGACAATGCCAAATGCAAATTCTGTAGTTTTCCAAGTTTTTCCACACCAAATTTTGCATAGGCTTTGTACCTTTGGAAAACTCGGACACGGTTCACATGTTAAATAGAAGGTGCTGAAGACAAAGAGCAGAATGAAGGCTACCTGCCAACATTCAGGAGCCAGGTGCAGCTATGTAAAGCTGTCCCCTATACTTCGACATGTTAGTTTTCTGAGTCTACATTCCCCACAGTCTAATGTCTACATTAGAGCACAGAGGTTGCTAATCATAGCCCAGTTTATGATGCTGAGGGGCTAAAGCAATTCTAGCATCTTATCACCTACACAGGGAAGATGAAAAGCATGGCTGAAGCAAGGCTATAACAGAAATTAGACTTAACACATCATGTAGTGGGGAAAAAAGCAAGAAATAATTAGCTATACAATATACCATTTATATAATTTATATGAACATACAGTGGGTGAACCTTGTTTAGGTTCAGCAAAGAAGTGAACTATAAAATGGAATTTGTGACAATCTAGGGAAAGTTTGAGCACTAATATTAGATGATCTGACATAACACATGTGGTGGCAGTATAGTTCAGAGAAGATCCCGGGCTCAGTCCCCAGTACTACGAATAATAATGACGCAGGTAAAATTACATTGTGTGTATAAAAGGATGGGAGAAATGTTGAAGCCAGACAAAAGATCCAGAGGAATTAGTCACAAGTCTACATTTGGGGGTTTGTTTTTGGCTTTGTTTTGTTTTGAAATTTTCCAAGATGAAAAGTTTTTAATGGATTGAAAAAAAGACATGCATTAAAAGGAGTTGAAGAAACGGCTCAGCAGTTCAAACAATTGCTGCTCTTGTAGAGGACCCAAAAATGGTCGCCAACACTCACATTGTGCAGTTCACAGACACCTATACCTCACACTCCAGGGGATCTGACACCTGCTGGCCTCTGTGGACACTTGCACACGCATTGCATACATTCACACAGACACAAACATACATGTAACTTCTTTTTCTCAACAAGGCTTCTCTGTACCTCTAGCTGTCCTGGAATTCTGTAGACCAGGTTGACCTCAAACTCTGAGAGCTGGGATTAAAGGTGTGCACCACCACTCAATTTTTTTCAATGTTTTTTTTTTTAAAAAAGAAAAAGAAAAAGAAAACCCAGAGAATAGAAATAGTGGTGCACAGCACTTGGGAGGTGGAGGTAGGAGAATTGTGAATTCAAGGCTGTTCTGGGTTACACAGCCAGTTCTTGGCCAGCCTTGGCTAAATAGTAAGGCCATCTCAAAATGGGGGGGGGGGGGACGTAAATGAAAATGTTAGAGACAGGAGGTAACTGTAAGCAGAACATTAATTATAGAGAACTCAGGAAATTTGGGAAGGACAGAACCCAAAATGCAAAGTTGTGTGGTAGCAGACCCGGAGCAAATTCCATGACAGCCGAGGCTACACAGAGAAACTTTTACAAAACAAAAACGAGACATTTTAATTTTAAGCATGTGTGTCTGTTATAATTGGAAAGAGGATGGCTACTGGAATGACTGGGAAAAATAGATTTTGTGAACGAAATGTTTCCAAGTAGTTTGGAGACCTGGTCCTTATAGTATTGGAGGCTGACATTGGAACTACCACAATGGGGAAAGCTGTTTAACCCCCATCCTAGGACGTCCACTAGGAGATAAACTCAATCCGTCCATCTCCCTAAACGACTACGCTTTGCTTTGTTGAATGGGATAGTGAGCAATCCACGGAACCAGTGCCCGGCTGCCACCAGGAGGTGCCCTTGGACTGCAGCCGAAAGTCAGGAGCCTGACAAGTGCCTGTGCCTTTGGCAGCTTAGATGTCGAGCCCCTTGTCACCCTCACAGTCCCAAACAGAGAATCTCTCTGGATTTCTTCACCACGTGTATTTCGGGAGTGCTCATTTCAGGAACCATGACAGATATACGAGAGAGGGAAAGCCCAGCCCACGTATATTCATGAATAAACATGACAAAGTATAGTTTGGATAGAGAAATGTTTTCCTCAGTGTAACGGATTACAGATCATTACACTCAGACCTAACCCAGCTCTGTCAGCGATCATCTTTCCGCCCCTCGACTCTCAGTCTAAACTTCCTCGCCAATAAACAACACAATTGCGGTGAGAATTAAGTTGTTCTAAGGGAGTTCTCACTCCCTCCCACCCAAACGAGGCAGAGACTGGGTTAAGATTGGGTGCCTAGACTTCTGAAGTGCCGCTCTCAGCCGCCACAGGGGTGGAGAAAACCTCCTTCTAGCGGGCCCAGTGAGACAGCCCTTTGTCATCGGCCTCCCTCCACAGTGGGCTAATAGCACGCTCCATTGTGATGGTGAGGCTCCCCCTGGGCTTACGGTTTCGCCCAGGCAGTGGTTGCTTCCTGAGCCCTTTTGACGCGCCAGCCGCGACCCTCTCCCAGGGTGGTGATTGGCTAGCCGGGGCTGGGGGCGGGCTGACCGCCTCTCCGCAGTGCCGTCACCACATGACCCCGCCCCCACACGGGGGCGGCCATTTGTGTGCGGCCGCAGGATTGGTCGCCCCGCTCCTTCGAGGGGGAGGGGAGGCAGGCAGCGCGCACTCGCGCGTGCGTGAGCTGGCGCGCGAGAAAGCGCTCGGTCGCGCCGAGGCTCGAGCGGCCGTCGCCATTTTGTAGGGTTCTCTCTGACGCGGGACCCGCCGCCACCGCCGGCACCACCCGGAGGTAGGAGAGATGCTGTGGGTGTGTGGGGAGCCCGGGAGCGGGCCTGGCCAGACCAGCGGAGGGCCGGGTAGCCCCGGCATGGGGGCCGCTCATCTTCTGAGGACGGTCCCGGGAAGACAACGAAAGGAGGCGGGGCCGGGTCTCCGGAGGGGGCGGGGCAGGGGTCGGGACGAGTCTTTGTTGGGCAGTGGGAGCTGGAGGTTGGGCCGCTGAGGACAGGGGTTCAGGTGTGGGGCAAAAGAGGGCTTTTCAGAGTATTGTGGGAGGTGATACCGCGCTGTGGATAGGCACACAGATTTCCCTCCAAAATCTTGTAACTAGGGACGTTCAGATGTTTCTTGCTTTCTGCTTGGCGCTTTCTTCCTTGTGCTAAACCTTGAAGCTGCTAACCTTGTAGATTAGATGTGCCTGACCTCACGGATTTGTTGGAACGTGTTGTGCTTTATGACCTCCTATCTTCTGTTAGAATTGTCACACACAGCTAGCACTACTTAGGAAAAAACTGCTGTTCCGCTCTCAAAAGGAATAATTGTGACGGTTGCGAAGATATTAATTGAGCCATTAAACGGAAATGCTGCATTGCTATGCAATGTCTCAACTTCACGCCTGACTTTTGAAATCTTGTTTGTAATCTGCCAGGCTCTTGTCAGTCAGGATGGTGAAGCTGTTCATTGGAAATCTGCCCCGGGAGGCCACAGAGCAAGAGATCCGCTCACTCTTCGAGCAGTACGGGAAGGTGCTGGAATGTGACATCATTAAGAACTATGGCTTTGTGCACATAGAGGACAAGACGGCCGCTGAGGATGCCATACGCAACCTGCATCACTACAAACTGCACGGAGTGAACATCAATGTGGAAGCCAGCAAGAATAAGAGCAAAGCTTCAACCAAGTTACATGTGGGCAACATCAGTCCCACTTGTACCAACCAAGAGCTTCGGGCCAAGTTTGAGGAGTATGGCCCAGTCATTGAATGTGACATCGTGAAAGATTATGCCTTTGTACACATGGAGCGGGCAGAGGATGCAGTGGAGGCCATCAGAGGCCTTGACAACACAGAGTTTCAAGGTGAACTGTTCTGGGGCTTGGGTGGCAGAGCTTCATGGGGTCTAGCTTAAGGCAGAAGCAAGAACATTAAGACCATGGGGCTGTGAGAGCGGCTCTTTTCATTCTCTTTTCATTGACATGGATCGATTATGTTTACTATGCTTAAGTATAATCTACTTTTAGGAAAGTAAACATTTCCCATTATTTTGCTAAGATGTTTCTCCACAATTGTGGGTTACTTTCTTTGGTCTTCATTTACTTGAGTGCTGCTAGGCTGCTAAGCTGCCTAGGCAGGGAGTGTGAAAAGAAGGGCTAAAGGTCATAATTTGGTTGCTGCTTTTGTTGTGACCCAGAAGCTTTAGTGTTTTATATTCTGATACTTTGAATGATGGATGATAGTAGCGAAGAGAAAAAGGGTAATCTAGAGGAAGCACTATATGAGAAATCTGTGGTGAGTCTGGTTGGGGGAGATGGGTATCTTTGGGGTGTCCAAATTTGTTGAGTCTGTGGACTATAAGCAAAACCAGGAAACGTGTCACAGGTTCTTCTGCTCCACTTATTACTTACCTCTAGCAGGTTAAAAAAAATTTTCTTTAGAAGTTCAAGCTTGAACAGGAATGTGGTCTGGATAAATTCCAGTGAAGACATCATAGAGTTTACTGTATTGCTTATATTGACAACACGTATTATGTATTATCATTAATACCACAGGATCTTGTCTGAAAACCCTGGAATTATGTTACTATAGTAGCCAATATCTATATGCGGCTAGTAAATTTCACTTAATTGAAGTTTCAAAATTGATTTTTCCAGTGTGGGCATATTTCAAGAATACAGGAGCCACGGGGAAATGATTACTATATTAGGAAACATAGCAGACCCCCATTGCAGGAAGTTCTACAATGCTTTGAGTGTCGTCCTGGACCGCATATTCAAGGCTCCTTTTCTAGTTTTTACCTCAACACCCTTTTTGCCCTAAATACCAACTAAAAAAGTTAAATATACAAAGGTCCTCTGCTAAACCTAGGAAACAATGAGATCATGGGGAAAAGGGAAAGTCTAAGTATGCAAATAGTGAAGCTCACTGGAGGCCCACTGTCATGTGTTTCTACCTTCATCACTGATGCCCTGGCCTTTAACTACTGAAAGTCTAGGGCACAAGTTGCAGTTAATCCCTGCACATTGACAAGTGTGCCCCTGTGCTTTTCCCCATTATAAAATAATGATCTCTGATGTGGCTCCCTCAAAGAATGGTAGTGAAATTAGAATGAGGTAATAAATGTATTTTGGCAGCAAAAGCAATATATAATGAAAGATGAGCACTATTTGCAACCATGATTTTCTTCTACTTGGGTTAGAAAATATTTAAAATCTGATAGCTTAACCCTGTCCCCCAAGACACGGCTTCTCTGTATAAGTCCTGGCTGGAATCCAACTCACAGAGTTTAAGCCACCACCACCTACCTGCCTTAGACCTTTTTGTTAAATTTGTATTTTTATTTTGGAACAATACTAGCACACTTCAATTTGAAAATGTTGTTAATCACATTCTTAATCATTTTCACTTGCTGTGGAAGGTGATAATGGACCAACGGGAAAGGAAGTAAGTAGTTTTGTTGCCCCACCCCCCTTGGTTCTGGCATCATCTGGAGGCCCCACAAATGCTGGGCTAATACTCTACTACTAGCCTATATGTTCCCATCCCCGAAGGGTTTGCTTATCAGATACAAACAAAATGAAAAAAAAAAACAACTTAAAATAGTGTACTCATTTTGCAGATAAATTCCCATAGTATAATAGTAAATGCCCTTTTAATTTTTTAAAAAATATTTATTTATTTACNTCCCTCTCCCCCGAGTGATCCAGTTACCTCCCATTCAGTCCTGCCTCTTAAAGGGCCCATCATTCAAGGAAACAACCTTCTACCACAGGTGTCTTTGGAAGCCACACTAATTCTAGAGCCCCAGCAATGGCTTCCATGATGTAATTACAGCTGTGAACATATACCTGTCTGTCCTTAGAAGAAAAGCACCCAGGGAGCTGGGGAAGCTTGGATGCTGCTGGGATCACCTTTTCTGTAAAGATGGCAAGCAGGGAATGAGGAACGGATTCCTGGCACCAGACCCCATTACAGATGGTTGTGAGCCACCATGTGGTTGCTGGGAATTGAACTCAGGACCTTTGGAAGAGCAGGCAATGCTCTTAACCTCTGAGCCATCTCTCCAGCCCCCTGCCCTTTTAATTTTTAAAGGAAATGGGGAGATAGAAGTTAGCTTAGAAGGATGAGTAATGTGATTTTTTGTTTGGTTGTGGGGTGCTGAACATTGACCCCCTCAGGGTCTTGAGTATGCTACGTACACAGTACCCCTGAACTATGCTCCTTGACCCTTATATTTGTGTAATAACAAATATAATTACATAGGAAACAGGGATCTAAATAATGCCATGAAAGTATTTTTATTATATATGTACATATATAATATAAATAATCACTTCCATAGAAAGTACAGACAATAAACTGAGTTGAAAAGAAGAATCATTTATTTGGTTTCACATTCTCTTTCTGGCTCTTCTAGAGATACTGGTTTACTCCCAAGTTATACATGCAGATATTTTTGTAATGAACTATTTTTTTTCCAGGTGGCAATAGAAAATTTAGTATTAGATAATGAATTTTGTTGAGACAGGGTCTTGACGTATAGCTTAGGCTGGCTCTTAAACTCAAAAATCCTCCTGCTTCAGACTTCTGAGTACTGGGGTTATATGTATAATTCCTTCACATATCTTACAGAAACTACAATGGATACAGTGGAGATGCCAATTTGGCATTTTGTTCAATTTAAAGCCTTTTTGGGCACCTTTTAGTGCCACGTTGAACATCTTTTGAACTTTTACTTCTGTGTATTAATGATTGTCTAAAACTTATGTCTCTGCATTATATAACTTCTAAAGATAGAATCTGAGTTTACCTGGGTCTTTCAAGATGTTTCCTCTCCACAGGCAGAAATGAATGCAGTTTGAATTAGAAATCATAACGAAGCTGTTCCCAAGTAACCATACGGGCAGCTGAATTGGGAAGGATATGTAAGAATTTAGGGGTGTCGTTTCAGCATTAAATTAGTGGGTCATTGTTATGTCAGCTACATCTGACCCAAGATAAAATTTCAGAAATTAGAATTGAGTTTCCCACCTTCCCAAAGGCAGAGTTTCAGAAATTAGAGGTTCCCAGTTTCTGGCATTTTAATACTCTCTTTTGTTGCAGCTTTGAAGATAAAACACTTTTAGTGAGCTGGTTTTCTGGAAAATACTGGCAGATTTCAGTAACTTGGAGGTTTGAGAAACCTTAAGAGCTCCACCTGTCCGCATCTAATAGAGAGATGAAACTACTTGAATCTGAATTTTTAACCTTTGGAAAGAATCTAAAACAATGCAGCCATCTATCATTTATATTACAGGTGTTTCTAGCTCCAGATCAAAAACAAAAAAAAAAAAAATTACTAACCTCCTTTTTACAACTACAGAAGATTTTGCCACAAATGTTGATGAAGCACTCCCTTAAGTTAAAAAGTAGGATAGGGCTGAGACAATTAGGTAAAATCACAGTATTTTATTTCTTTCTTTCTTTTTTTTTTTTAAATGGACTCAATCTATGAAAAGCAAATTCAATCGAATTTTTTCCCCCTTCCTAAGAGGCTTTGTCTAATCCTGAGGGGGGAAAACTGGGGTGGAATTGAAATCTATAGAGGTTCTTTTTAATTTCCTCAAGTACAGGTGAAGCCTATGAGTCAAGTATGATCTGGATATCCAACACAGCACCTGCACATATTCCTGGATGAAACATGGTGGACAGAAGACAGCTGTTGAACTGGGATTGTTTGTAGGGTTTGGGGGTGATGCAGTGCTGAGGTTGAGGCCAGGGTATCGTACATGCTAGCAGGCATATGCTTTTTCAATTGAGCTCAGAACTAATTTTTAGAGGTGGAAAAGATGCCTTCTAAACCTACCGATAAGTGAGGTTTTGATTTGGAAGTAGTAAAACCAGCAGTCTTTGCGTGGGGGAAGGAAATAGATTGTGGAGATGGAAGTAGAGGAGAGTCTGATATGCTACTGGCATTAAACAGTAATTGATCTCTAAGAACTCCAATATCTAGCTCTCACCTCTGTTGAACCTTACTTTTTTCTAAAGGGATTGCTGAATGAAGTGGGGTAACAGGAATGTGTATGTATTATATATATTTTATGTTTACTTTTATTTGGGTGAGGGAAAAGAAAGTTAATGAGTAACATAATTTTAATCTGTTTCTTCAAGGCAAACGAATGCACGTGCAGTTGTCCACCAGCCGACTTAGGACTGCGCCTGGGATGGGAGACCAGAGCGGCTGCTATCGGTGTGGGAAAGAAGGACACTGGTCCAAAGAGTGCCCAGTAGACCGTACAGGGCGCGTGGCAGACTTTACTGAACAGTACAATGAACAATATGGAGCAGTGCGCATGCCCTATACCATGGGTTATGGGGAATCCGTGTATTACAACGATGCGTATGGAGCACTTGACTACTATAAGCGCTACCGGGTCCGATCTTACGAAGCTGTGGCAGCAGCGGCTGCAGCTTCTGCATACAATTATGCAGAGCAGACTATGTCTCATCTTCCTCAAGTCCAGAGCTCAGCTGTACCCAGTCACCTCAACTCCACTTCTGTTGATCCCTATGACAGACACCTATTGCAGAACTCCGGCTCAGCTGCCACCTCAGCAGCCATGGCTGCTGCTGCCCCTTCCTCCTATTATGGAAGGGACAGGAGCCCACTACGTCGGAATGCAGCTGTGCTCCCTGCAGTTGGAGAGGGCTACGGTTATGGGCCAGAGAGTGAGATGTCTCAGGCTTCAGCAGCAACACGGAATTCTCTGTATGACATGGCCCGGTATGAGCGGGAGCAGTATGTGGACCGAGCACGGTACTCAGCCTTTTAAAAACTGGAGGTGAGAGTGGGGTGGATGTGGTTAAAATTTACATTTAGTTCCCTACAAGAGACCTTTGCTTCACTGAGGAGCCAGAGGACCAAACCACCATACCCAAAATGCACAAATTACATGCTTTCAGTATTTCCTATAGTTTAGGCCACCGGTTTATTTGGCCTGTTGAGGAATTAGTATGATTCCAATGTGTTACTTCTGAAATAGGAACAAGCTCAGTTACCGAGAATATTATTTAAAAAGTTGTATACAAGCCAGGCAGTGGTGGCACATGCCTTTAATCCTGGTACTGCGGAGACAGAGGCAGGTAGATCTCTGAGTTCAAGGACAGCCAGGGCTACACAGAGAAAACCTGTCTCGAAAAAACAAAAAAGGGGGGAAAAAAAGGTGGTAAGCCAGTATGGGGTGAGGGGAGCTAACATATACTGGCTCTTTGTTGTATAGATAGCAATTTCCTTACCAGGAAAGAACTAAGTCTTAGAGTATATCAGCACTTCACCTGTGATAATCTGGTAAATGAGAGGTAGAGCCAAAATTCAAACTGGGACCTCTTAAATTCATTCTTTCCAGGCAGGCGGTATTGGCACACGCCTTTACTCCCAGCATTTGGGAGGCAGAGAACTCTAAGTTTATAGCCAGCCTGGTCTACAGAGTGAGTTACGGGACAGCCAGGGCTACACAGAGAAACCCTGCCTTGAAAAACCGAAATAAATAATAAAATCATAGTATCGCCACTACTAAGTAAGCTGCTGTGGTGTTGTAAAGGGTCATTAGGGAGCTAGTAATGGACAGCACAGTGAGAATCTTGCATCTTCAGGGGTTTCCAGTTTGCTAATAAAGCACTTCTTGGAGTAGCACACAGTGGTGCATACGTGTAATCTCTGTACGAGGATGAATCCAAAGGATTATGGTAAGCAAACAGCCTAAATTTTAGCAAGTTCTAGCAAAGTCTAGAAAATATAGGAGACTCCTGTCTCCAAAATAAAAAAAAAAAAAAAAAAAAACTATTTCTTGGGTTATTAGCTTATAAATGATGCTCTTTGGTGTGTTACTTTAAGTCGGATAAAGACCTAATGTTTTAAGACACTTCAGTTTTCAGTGTTTTCATATGTTCCATGAAGTCCTTATTCCAGCCCAGATCATGTTTGATGTCAGCACTTAAGCCCTATTTCTTTGTAGCCTATGACAGAATTCCTGTTTATTTTAGCAAGTTTCATTTTCTTAAGGGAACACTCAAGGACTTAGATAAATTGATCATTTCTGATGTGTAAAAATCTTGTAGGTGGTGACATTGGAAACTTATTTCCCTGTTTCAGAAAATGTGCTAAGAGCGTTGGAATGATAAGAATTGGGGATACTCAGAGACAAGTAAAGTTCATTAGAATGGAAATGGCGTTTACAATGCACAATTCTCCATAGTTTTCCTTGTACTTTCAAGTAGAGCGTCACTTGAGTTAGAGCCCCAGCCATGCGGTTAAATAAGTTACCGCTGAGACACCAGTGTTCCCAATTTAACCCCTGATTTGGTATATGTGTTAAGAAAACAATGCCATGTTTGTTAAGTTATATGCTGTATAGTTGTATTAGTAAGACTCAGGATTTCTTAAGGCCATCATTTAGTCATCATTCAGCATGTAAATGTAGTTTGATATTAATTTCTACAGCTGGATCTACTGAGATACCTCTGATAAAGTTAGTATTAATCTGTTAGATGACTTTGTTTCTCAAGTATGTTTCAAAGTTAAATATTAAATTAGTATAGCCTTTAAGGGTATGGTTAGGACATTTTGAAAATGAATTTAACTTCAATCAGTAGCTGTTCAACTAACCTCTTTTTAGTGATGACTTTTAAAGAAACTTACCTTCCAGGTGTGAACCTCAAATGGACTGAATAACCCTGAGTTGGTTGCAGTCCCAGGAGCCTGATGTTAATGAGGCTGCCAGGATGAAATACTCCACAACTGTTGGGGATCCAAATTCGGGTCTCACCCTAACAGAACTGATCCAAGAACATCACAGCTTTTGAAGTCGATTGGCACAGATCAAGACCAAGATTTGGCCCTGTGTCTGTATTAAGTAGAGGAGCTTGGTGTGAGTTAACTTTTTTTTTCCCCCAGCCATTGGTGTCTGGAGTTCCCATCATCAATGGAGGAATTAGACAGTCCTAGCAGTGGTTTCTTCTTTTGTCAAGGGATATTTGGTCAATTAGGAAACTACTGCATCTGTAGTTCTGAACTGACAGTGTGACAAGTAGAAACTTTAAAGGGTGAATGACCAACTGTTCTTTGAGACGCTAGTCTTTGTGACTATGTTTTTTTGAATGTTTTCTTTGGAACATTTGTAATAGTAAAATTGGGCTGGGCATGGGTGGTGGATGCCTGTAGTCCCATCTACTCAGGACTGCTTTAGAACAGAAGTTCATGGTCATCTTGAGCAACATAATTAAATCCCATCTCTTAAGGAAAAAAAAATTGACTATACCTCATTCTTAGCATCTTTTCCTGGACAATAGTCTTACAAAATTAATCTGTAGTTACTGAAAAATTCATACCTTCTTTGAAGCAGTGGTAGCCTTCTACTAAAAGGGTTGGGTTACCTAAGTTAAAAGCAAGCTGAGTTTATCACTATCAGCAGTTTTGCATCTTGTGCAGCATACAGCTCTAAGTAGATTCCTAGATGTAGCTATTAGGCTCCTGGGTGATTTTGTGGGATATACATTCAACCCAGTCTGACTTGATTTTGTTTTGTTCTTTGTTTCTCCCCCTTTCCCCCACCCCCCCAGAATACAGGACGGGACCAGGGCCCTGTACTCGGAACCAGGCTGCTTGCTCTCCAGGCATTGTGTAAGCCTCTTGTGTTGTGCTTTCTTTCAGGTAGGATAATTGTGGACTGAACCCTCGGGCTGCGATCATATATGAGAACTTGGTCCTCGTGGTCCCCTTTGCCGGGATGTTTCCATTGCTTCATGTTTCAGTAAACAAAGGAATTTGTGACCAACTATGTTTTCTTTCTTAATTTAATTCTAAGTTGACTTTTCTTTCCTTGATACTAGTTGTCTGTAGCCTTTCATTCTGTTCCGTAAATTCTCAGCCTCTGAACAGCCCTAGGTAAGGATTATGCTGGCATCCCCTTCTTTCCTGTACAGTGGAACCCCTCTTAATCTTGCTTTCCCTAGGATTTGAGCCCTTCTCCCTGCCTTCCTACAGCATCTCCTCTCCCTTTAAAACGACCATGTAGTGGCAAGCAGCCTTTAACATGTGTTAGCTCTGGACTCTAACACTGAAGCTAATCATCTGAAGTTGCTAGGACCATTGGGGTTTTGTTGTTTTGGTTTGTTTTTTTGTTTTTGTTTTCCCAGTTTTGTCCGACCTGTGATCGTGGTATATAGCATTAGCTGAAATTTAGCCTTGTTTTACTCCACTCCTTCCATTTTTTTTTTTTTTTGACAAATAAATGTTTCTAACACTTAATCTTTTCCTAATTGAGTGACTGTTATTTACTACTAGTGTCTTCTGATTCTTTCCCAGTTGTGCTAGAGCTACAAAATTCAAATGAGTAAATGTAGAAGCAAAAGTTGAGTAGAACAGTATGGTTTCAGAAACAGACAGCTGAACAAAGATGACTAGAGTCTTGAGACACTGGTCACTATAATCAGAGCTGTTCTAGAGTTGAAAGGCTGGAAACCCAGCGCACTCACGATAGGAGCCCAATGGTGCTGGTGGCTTCCAACCATCTCTATATAACTCCGATGCCCTCTTCTGACCTCATCAGGCCTCAAGCAGGCACAGTACTACACATACATGCATACATACATGCACACACGAAAAAATTTTTTTAGAGAACAAAAATTTTAGGCTTTAACATCCTCCCCTGTAGGCTTAATAGACACCCCCACCCTGCTGCTCTCTCTTGCTCACTTTCCCTTGCTCTCCCTTTCACCACTCCCGACAAACTTTCTATGTAGGCCTGGCTGCTCTGGAACATGCCATACAGAGCAGACCAGTCTCATACTAGTGTTGATCCTCCTGCCTCTGCCTCTCAAAATCTTGGGATTAGACATAAGCCATCATTCCTGAATGCTTAGTCTTTGTTTATTTGGCTGGAAAGATGGCTCAGCAACAAGAGAGGACCTGGGTTCAACTCGCAACACCCACATTGGTGGCTTACAACTGTCTGTAACTTCAAGGGAGTCTTATGTCCTCTTCTACCTCCAAGGATACTGCATGCATGTGGTAAAGCATCCATATACATAAAATAAGTCTCAAAAATAAAGATTTTTTTTAAAAAAGGGGTCTAGGCATATAGCTACATGGTAAAGCACAAAGCCCTGGGTCAATTTCCTATTTCTCCCCACCAAAAAGAAGGGGAAGTTTTTCATGTAAATATACTTAAGGAGCTTAAAAGTGATTTTTTTTCTCAAGGTGTTAATTTTTTTAACTGATATTCTTTTCCATTTCTTTATTTAATTTTTTGATTTGAGACAGGGTTTCTCCGTAGCTTTTTGGTTCCTGTCCTGCAACTAGCTCTTGTAGACCAGGCTGGCCTTGAACTCAGAGATCCACCTGCCTCTGCCTCTCAGTGCTGGGATTAAAGGCGTTGCACCACCACCACCGCCCAGCCTTCTTTTCTTTTTATTTATTTATTTATTAAAGATTTCTGTCTCTTCCCCAGCGCTGCCTCCCATTTCCCTCCCCCTCCCCTTATTTTTTTTTTTTATTTATTTATCAAAGACCTTCTTTTCCCTTAAAAAAAAAAAAAAAGATTTATTATGTATACAGCATTCTGCCTGCGTGTGTGCCTGCAGGCCAGAAGAGGCCACCAGATTTCATCATAGATGGTTATGAGCCACTATGTGGTTGCTGGTAATTGAACTCGGGACCTCTGGAAGAGCAGCCAGTGCTCTTAACCTCTGAGCCATCCCTTCAGCCCAAGTGTTAGTATTTCTGCTAGGATTAGTCTTTGGCTAAAATGTATGCAAGATTTGGGGAGGGAGTATGGAAGGGTTAGTTTTTAGGCCAGGATTCGTCTTGTAGCTGAAACGTTCCTTGAACTTCTAATTCTACCCCTTTAACCTCGATTACAAGTGTGCATCACTACACCTGAGGGTAAGACCCGCTCTGGATCAGAAAAAATAGAAGTAAATAGGCTGAGGCCATGGCATATACCTGTGAATTACTCAAGATAGGCACTCAAGAGTTAGTATTATCAGGAGCTAGAGGTCATCCTTAATTATACAGCAAATGAACCTAGCCTGGACAATGAGACCAAATCTCAGAAACCAAACCATCTCTCCATCCCCTCTTAAATTTTTTTACCCCCCGAGACAGGATTTCTCTATGTAACAGCCCCTGGCTGTCCTGAAACTTGCTTTGTAGACCAGGCTGCCTTTGAACTGACAGAGATCTGCCTGCCTCTGCCTCCCAAGTACTGGGATTAAAGATGTGTGCCACCATTGTCCAGTCAATTTTTTTAAGGTTTTTTAAATTAATTAGTGTGTGTGAGAGAGAAAGAATGTGGGTGTTTAAGTGTCCGTGCACCTCATTGCCCCATCTAAAAAAAATTTTTTTTAATTTTTAACTTGCAAAAAAAAAGCAAAGTCGGGCAAAAAGCAGGTGCATCTGAGTTCAAGGCTAGCCTGGTCCTCAAAGTGAATTCCAGGACAGACAAGAGATACACAGAGCGGAAAAAAAATTTTTGGTTGGAGGGTATGTCTACATACGTATGCACTGCACATGGGCTGAACTAAGAGGTCAATACAGGCTATTTAGCTAAATTAGGTGGTCAACCAGTCCTAGGATCCTCTTGTCTCCCCTTCCTACATCTTCCAACTCTGGTGTTCACCTAAGCTTCCCATTTTTCCAAGAGTCCTAAGAATCTGATCTCTGGTATTATGGCTGAACAATAAAGGTCTCAGGCTCACTGTATAGCTGAAGAGGACACCTTCATCTGATCATCCTGCCTCCCCAGTGCTGGGATTGAAGGTGTGCATCACCACTACCTGGCCCAAGGAAATTTTTAATCAACACTATGAATCTTTAGCTCCTGTATATTAAAACTGAATGGTGGCATAAATCTAACTTATGCTTCACTCTCTCCTTTATGGGAAGTCGTAGTATGAACATTCTGACTATAAAATTTTCCTCATTTGGATGAGGGGATTAGAGATCAAATACAGAAACTTGTACATGCCAAATGTACTTGCCCCTAATTAACCCTACCCCACCCACTTTACTCTTTAAAGAGATTTTATTTTCTGTGGATGGTGATTTTGCCTGCATGTATGTGTCTGGTGTCTGTGGAGCCAGAAGAGGATACTGGATCACCTAGAACAGGCATTACAGACAGTTCTACCATATAGGTGCTGGGAATTAAACCCAAATCGTCTGCAAGATATAGCCAATGCTCCTTCCTAACAGTCGAGCCATTTTTTACTTTCTTTTGAGATGGGGTTTTATTTTATTATCTAGGCTATCCTCAAATTCTGTCATCCTGCATCATCATCCTCTCTCATGCTTTGATTATAAGAGTATACCAATACTTTAGACTCCACATATTTTATGCTTAACAATTTTCTGACTTTGACTAGAAGCCAGAATGACAGAGGTCCATGCCCACACTCCATCTAGCAAAAAGTACAAAAGGCCCATGTTAATTCCAACATTCCACAGGAGGGCAGGACAATCCCTGTTGTCACACAATAGAGATTAAAAACCACTGGGATTTGAGATCGGTAAGTACACCACCAGTCAAAATGGAAGATATAGTCATGGTGGTGCACACTCAGGAGGCAGAGGCAGGAGGATCTTATTGCGAGCTTGGTCTACATAGAAAGCTCCAGAAAAGCCAGGACTACATAAGAGATCATGTCTCAAAAAAACCAACAACAAAAAAATGTGTGGCTACTGACCTCACCAGAATCTCTAATGGTATTGTGTTGGGTTTTGACGAACGTAAACGTGGTAGTTTACTGTATCTTGATCCCCCTCAACCCTTAAATCACTGGCAGAACAGGAAAGAAAAACCTGTACAAATAGTTCTACAGAGCCATGGCCAGTTTAAGACTTTGCAAAACTGTACTGAATTGTTCAATCTGCAGCCACATGTAACTCTTAAATATTTAAACTATACCTAGTAGTACTTAGAAATTCTATGGGTACGTGTGTATCTGTGTGGTTATATGCCATGTCTAAGCAGATGTCCGTGAATGCCAAGAGAACATTGGATACCCTGGAGCTGGAGTTATAAATAGTAAGCCACCATGGGGGTCAGGGAGTTGGACAAACTCAAGTCCTTTGGAAGGGCAGCACACTAGGCCATCTTTCCAGCTACACAAATTTTTATATAATTTAAATGACTAGTGACTACAACTTTGATATTATATGAAGTTTTTTCCTTTCACTTTTCCATAATAAAACCTTAAGAAAGGCTAGTTCAAAAACCTTGTTCAACTAGTTACAACTGGCTAGGAGTAAACTAATATACTTATTTCTAAACCTCAGTTCTTACAAGATAAGCTGCATGTTGTAGGTACAAAATTTCTTTCATAACCAATATGAAGTTTCTCAACAGATGAGTCCCATGAGACCTCTCACTCTAAATACTCCTGAACTCCTTTATCTGCTCTTTGAACTCCTGCTATGCAGCAAGTTATGGTGACCAATGTGTTAATTCAGTTGTGCTAAACACTATGAAGAGCCAAATACACTCTAATACTCTAATATGTGAAAATCAGAATTCTAACAAGGGTGGCTATCCCAAATGGAGACCACAACCATTAGCCAAAAAGGCAGCAATGAAGATTGGGCAAAACTGTGAAGGAAACTAGAAGAGGTACGTGACAGAAGTTGAGCCTTGTTGTGGAGTGTGAAGGAATTTCTTAGAAGATAGAGATTTATCATAAGCTCATTAATTTTTTTTTAGCAATCACTAATGGAAAAGTATGAACAGACTATAGATGAAGTTAAAAAAAATACCTTGTAGATAGGAAATGGTGTACAGATAAATATAGTATTTAGGTGGCCATCTGGGGGAGGACTTAAATCTCTGAAACCCACCAAGCTGACTTTTCTATTCAACAGTGGCTGAGCACCTGCTGTGGGCCAGGCCATGTCTGAATTGAATAGTACAAAACACGGGATGATACAGTCACTTGGAGATCTTAAGAGACTACTGAGATGACTATCACAGGTAGGTTAGGAACGTAGGTCTAAAATCAAATTCTGGGGTTAATAACTGCATTGCCACCGCTTACCTGCAATTAAAGATTAAGAATGGAAAGCCTGATGTTAGGTAAAACACTTGTAATCCTAGCAATTGGGAGGTAAAGGCAGGATCAAGAATTTAAAGTTGTGGGGAAGTGGTGGCACATGCCTTCAAAGCTACAGATAAACCCTGTCTTGAAAAACCAAAATAAAAAAAATTTAAAGTTCTCGTTCACTACAAAGTTCTGAGTTACTTACATGAGTACTTT